TTCCAACTATTTAAGCGACGGGCTATTCAGAACTCTCAAAAGTATGTGGAAAAAGTGAAAAGTGAAAAAGTGTTTTTTTTCCGATTTTCAAAGGGTCAGAATTTCCGTTTTCCAGGGGGAAAGTCGACTTGCACCAAAATTGAATTTTTTAGCCGGGTGGACGTTGATTGCAGGTATTTAAGGGACGGGCTATTCAGAACTCTCAAAAGTATGTGGAAAAAGTGAAAACTAAAAAATTTTTGTTTTCACCCGGAGCCAAAGTTTTACCACCCGTTTTATTGGCCCCCCTAATGCCAATGAAACGCTCGGAGGCGCCAGAATGATTTGGGACAAATTTATTCAATTATTATTCAATTTAACTTGCAGTGCCTGAGCCTCGTTAATAGGCTTGAGGAATCGGGCACGTTTACTTAAAAACGTTGTATTAATTTTCCACTACTCAACTCTTACGTTGATTGTGTCAACCATTGGATCTGCGATGAGAAATTATATAGGTCAGTTAGAAACGCCAATAAAAGCCATAAAATATAAATTCTATTTTCCTTTTTCCTCGAAAGAATAAATCGAAGATAGCTCTATAAACATCTGGAGAGACTCTGTCAGAAATATGGACAAGGATGAAGCGATGCTTTAACATGTAAACTGAGTTGAGATGGGGCTTGCGTGGTACCAACTGGAGGATTTTGTTGGACTACATGGGGGATGGTGGCCGACGGGGAAGAACCGTTCTTCAGGCTTATCCCCTACCCCACTTTTCTCAGCATTTTGATGTCGGTATATATTCCTCGCACTCATTCCTTAGCTCGCAGTAGTGCATGCATCATCCCCTACAGCAGGCGTCTCGTTCCCCCTTCCCCCCACAGCCCCTTTCTTCGAGGGCGCCTTTCGCGTCATATTCCATTCCAATGGTGTAAGCGGTAGTCTCCCGTTTTACGTTTCAAAAAATATCGACGAGACGTGGCCAGTATCTAACTTTCATCCGCCTTTGCTGTCCTGTCAAAGCGCTCGGCATCACGATCCTACGTGGGGGGCTCTTTCCCTATAATACTTTATCGTAAATAACCCCCTCGTTTACTCTCTCCCTTGATTCGACGTTATGCCCCTTTGTCATTTTTCATCATAAAAAACACTGCGACTCAAGACAATATTCTACAGTGTTTTTGTTTTCATCGAAACGACGGGAAAGGAGAAGAGGAAAAAAAAGAAATATTGAAACAGAAACCCGTGGGTCCCTCGTTATAAAAGGCAATTTATTGTGCCATGGCATCATCCAATCATCGTCCCGGAGAATGAAAGAGGACGAACGAGGGAGAGAAAGAGATGGAGAGATGTAACAATGAGGAGGAAAAAACAACGAAGGCGTGATAGATCGCATTAGAGTTAGACAATCAACCTCATCCGCTGCCTCTCCAACCCGACCGCCTATAGGTTTGCTTCTTTTCTTCACCAACAACGGAACCACCAACTACTCCAATGCAACCCTCATCGCGAGCTGTTATACCCGATGGACCGAGTCTCTACTGGGAGAGTATAGAAGAGGGGGCACGTTAATCGTCAAAGTCCAAACTGATATTGCTTCATCACAAGTTACTGCTGGGATTTGTGTTGAAGGGCGGCGAAAATAATACAACTTTTTAATTTGAAAATTTCACTGCGATTAAAAACTGCGAGAAAAAAAAGGGGAGAAAAAAAATCACACAACCGCCATTTAATTACGCAAAAAGTTTCAATGGTTAATAGAGGGGTAACATCTGTGTGTGATGTGAACATATTCATGCTATACATATATGTGAGTAACAATTTTTCATTGTTGCCAGAGGGGTAGCTAATAAGGCCGGGCCTCCTACCGCCAAAGAGTAAATAACCTTTGCGTTATTTACGAGAGTAGAATGCGTTCCTGTGCAAACACTCTGAATATGGGATCAACATTATTAATTCCTAAAGTCATTTCATGTTATTGAAAATAGCTAAGAAGGGGTGGAGAGGGGTGTCTCCTGTTTCTCTACACTTTGCAAAAGTGCCGAGTCAAACCGTTAAGCTTAGGTTTATGGTCTCAAGAGATTGCCATCTAGTTCCTATTTATCGATAAATAATTAAATTTTATGGGGCAAATGCTCACTGCTATAGCTATAATGTGAATATATACCAGCTGATTTAAATATCCAGAGAGAAACGTTAGATGCTACCACTTGAGGATGGAATTATAAACAAATAGACGCTTAACGAGATGCAAATAGACCTTTCCCTTGTGATGATAGGTCAAAAGATTCAGAGGAAACAGGTTAAACTGCTTAGTTGGTGTATCTCACAATCAGTCGGACCAATCTCCACCGCTATCTCGTTATCTTGCTCTTACTCTCAGATGTCTCAGTCGCTCGCCCCATACATGCCATACAATTTCTATAACTACGTTTCCTTGTGTACCACATGCTTCCACCATACTACTGAATCGTTAGGTATTTCATACCTCCTGAGATGATCATAGACACGTGATGCTATCATCGATGTTACTGACGTCGACACACACAGACTGTGTTGAGCATGTATGTATTAAATACATGTTTGCGGGAGACCATTTCCGAAGCCATTAAATTTGCAATGTTTGATCCAAGGGACTGTTATTTGGATATTTGTTGGAACAATATTAGAGAATATAATCAGCCGGCGATCCATTTTCACAGAATGCAAATGTAAAAGCAGACTTTTTCTCTTTGCTAATTCAGTTTACCTCTTGGAGTCTATTCAATTATCCAATCAATTTAATGGTTTCAAATACCAGAACTTTTCACTGTGATTATTTATCATCTGTGATGGCCCCATTTTCCAAGCATTGTTTTAATATAAATTCTACCTCTATTTTGGTGACCATGGAATAGAGAGAGAGAAAGAGAAAGAGAGAAGAATAAGGATGAATATAAAAACGTGGAAGAATGAGTTTTTCGCATTTTGTCGAAATACTCCTGCCCCCACAGTGGAGCAGTGGAGCTCTATTCTTTCCACAGTCGTAAATTTACTGACAGTTAAAGGGGCTCGAACGTTTTGTGGCACGATACGAACCAGAAGCTTTGGCTGTTCACGCTTTTTCGTTTTTTCTCTCCTAGCATTGTTTTTATTACTCAAGCTCACTCACCCCTATCCACTCTATGGTACTCAACCCGTTCCAACTGGATGAGCTAGCCACGCGCCGCACTCACGTCTGTGTCACACACGCTGACGTAATCTCGTTGGGGTGACTTCATGAAAAATAAAAACAAAAACAGGGTAAATAAATATGAGGGGCGAGGGGAAAGATAATTACACGCTTGTCAGAATTTATAAAACATTTTACGATCGCCAGATTCAAAATATACCGAGGGAGTCAAAATTATTTTCATTGCAAAAAAAAAAGCTTTTCATATTTTTTCACTTTCCAAGAATGGAAAGACAAAGCTCACATCCTTTTGAATGTCAACTCGGTATTCGGATTCCAGCAATAACTTTGCAAAATACTTTCCATCTGTCTTTTCTGCATATGGAGGAAGAATAACGGTGGAATTCGCCAAGAATATAGCTTTTCATTGAGATACATTGTGGAACAAACGGTTCAATAAAACGACAAAGAACGCCTAAATGTTGGGCTTGTGAATGCACCGTGAATCAAATGTTGCGAGGGGAGGGGATAATCAGTTTGTTAGTATTTTTTTACCGGCATTTTTCACATTCTTCGTGCGCAGAAAATTCGTGGAATAATCAAAGCGTTGTGGCAATGATGCAGGATCAGTCTCTATCTCTATCTCTGCTGATTATACCTCACTCTCGCACAAGAAATAACTAATGTCAAGCGCGTGCTGCCACCTGTGGGGCCAATGTCAAACTAGCAAGATCCAACGCGTTCTCTGTTGCCAACTTCACACTGACCGTCCTATGCCTTCCCCCACCCAGTCACTGTCGATTATTATATATATTACGTTGTTCGGCACCGGCGCCATGTTGGTGAATTGATCCGTCGTGTGCGCGTCTTTCTCCGATTTTAGAGTAATAGAGGAAAAGAAAGAATACTGTTTTTTCTCATTACAAATTCAACTTTTTTTTTAACGGTAAAAACGCTCACGTGATCGACGAAAATCAATTGTCAACGAAAACCTACGTGGCGTATGTCTTACTATTCAATCTGACAACATTACTCCTAATTTCTCGAATTATCAACACAGTTGGCATATTTTAGAGCGTTACCTGGAGCATCACTTTACTGTGCAAGATGATGTACACGGTAAGGAAAAATGATAGCAGTATCCATTTAGACTTTTTTTTTGCCTTAAAAAAATGCTGCTCCCTTGCATTCCTTTGATCATTGCAATTGTGAGAGAATTTTTTATTTTATTTCATTTTTTTATTCTCAGGGGACAACTGCCTCGCAGGACACGCGTTTCAGCGATAAAGAAAAGAAGCTACTCAAACAGATGAAATTTGGAGACTCTTTGACTCAAAAAGTATGGAGAAGTTATTATTAAATTATTGAGAGATTATGCTCAAAGAGAATTTATTTTAGGTTGACATGAGCAAAGTCAAGCTCGACGTTATTAAACCCTGGATAACTACAAAAATCACCCAGATACTTGGAATTGAGGATGACGTCGTTGTGGAGTTTGTCTATAATCAACTGGAAGAAAAGGTGAGAACTTTGAATCCATCATGAAAAATTTGTAATTATTGGATTATTAAAAAAATCAACATTGATTCATCACTCCAAGCCAGATATAGACAGACTCTCACCAGGCTTTTTCCCCTCATTTTTAGGATTAAAATAGAGAGAACGAACAAATCTAAATGATTATTTCAGCACAAATGTATCATACAACTGCCATCAAATGGTTGTTGAGAAAAAAAACCGGACGTGAGCATTTCATTAATCTGGAATGATTGTATTTTTGTGTTTATTCTTTCACAAAGAGCCATCATCCAATTTATTTGATTTATTGAAAAATAGCAAAATTGATGATTTTGCATTTCACTAATTTCTTTTCACATAAACTCTCAAGTGGAATAAACACATCTCCGTGAAATTCAATCTTATCGTTTGGTTCTTTTGATTTCCGTGAAGAAAAAAAAAATGAAAAAAATAAAACAAAAAAAAAGACCGAAGTAACCAGAAAGTATGAAATATTAAAAGCCATAATATATGAATTGGGAGTAGAATGTATCTTATCACATGATCTTTGAATTCTCTCCGTTAGTATAAGTAGAGAGCGTTGCTGATGGGCGTATCAACCCAATAATGTCCAAATGGGTGTGAAAAAGTATGGATGCGTGCGACATCATCCGAGTAACAGCATCCGGAATTTAGCCATTCAACAGGGAGTACCACAGGTTAATCATCACTCAGGATTCCTCTTCTTCTCTCCCCCACTTCAAAATTGGCGCGCCAATGATCCTGCAACTTGTCCACTTCTCGTTAAACATCGTAATCATCATCACGAGTGTCTTCATGGGGAGCCTCAAACATGAGGCCACTCCAGGGTGTGTCCTCAGAATCATCGAGTATCATCAGAAATAGCTGCAGATGCTGGAATAGGCATTTGACAAAATGCCAGTCACCACAGTCATCGTCCACAAATATTGTGGGCACATCACAGTCACATCGAGTAGCAGTATTCAGCACGGCTGACGGCTCCAAGGGCATCAACTCTCCTCATTGATCCATGGGGATGGATATCGCCAGCCACAAATCCTGTCATTGTCATCCTGTCATCCACTTATCAGTTCCACGGTCGAGTATCAACTAATCTGGCACTCAAGGAGGTATTCGTCGAGCAATGTGTGTTCACATGACTCTGTTGCTCACTTGTCTATGTGGCAGGCAGGTTGGTGACTTAAAACGCGTAAAAACTTGGAAAATCAATAATTCGTATTTTTATAATAAACATTTATTACAGCTTTTTGCCATTGTAAAAAATGTAACACTTTTCTCTTTCTCTATTTTTTTTCCCTTTTTTTTGTCGAAATTTTCAGAAATCTGTCACGATAATGGAGATTTTCCCCACTGAATTGTTTCCCCATGTTCTTTTGTTTTTTATTTATAGCGGACTATAAAGACTGCAACAAAATGTTGATTCAAGTATTAACGGATGATGGCGGTAAGGTAGATTATAAGTTGTGTAAAAAGTGTGCTTTCGAGGGGGAAAAGCAGTTGATTGAGGAATTTTCTGAGAGAAAAACGTTTTTTAAATTTGTCTCTTGGATAAAATATAAGGGAGAATATTGTGGAAATTTCAAGTGATTACTTAATTATTCATTTAATCTGTCCAACAGCATCCAGATCCTCGAAAAATGCAGATCAACCTTACCGGTTTCTTGAATGGAAAAAATGCAAGATCATTCATGGGAGAATTGTGGGATCTCTTGGTCTCTGCCCAGGAGAGCCTCACCGGGATTCCCGAGGCATTTTTGCAACAGAAAAAAGATCAGATAAAAAAACGATTGGTGAGTAATCATCCACCGAAAGCATCGAGATAAAAAAAAAGCCAAATTTTTTTACTAAATTTAGTATCATTTGTCATGTAATATGATAGGAGGAGCAGGAAAAACTCCAGGCATCGATTGCGGAGAAGGAAAAGGAGAAGGAGAAAGACGATGCTGATAAAGTGAAGAAAGAGGAGAAGGACCGGGGTGGTTCTAAAGAAAGAAAACGAGAGAGGAGTCGAGAGCGTGACAGAGATAGGTATGCATAATAACCATCAACCATCAACCATCAACTTTCATTATTGATCGTTTAAATTCGTCACTATCCAATAACACTGTTAAATGTCCAAATTATAGGAGTAAGCGGAGTCGCTCTAGAGATCGTCATCGCGATAGAGATCGTTCCAATCGTAAGCATACATCTAAATCACCCAGCAAGCCTTCAACAAAAGACAATGGAAAAGAAGTACAACAGGAAATAAAAACTGAGAAAGATGAATCGCCACATCTGGAGAACGTCATCCCGATGATGCCCGTGAAAACTAAACCGTATGTTCAATATTTTAAAATATCGCTGTCGAATTAATTGCTAATTGAATTGTCTTAATTAACAGGGAAGCAGCAGTGGCGATTTCTCGCCTCCAGGCAAAGTTGATGAGCATAGCTGATGGAAAAAAGAAGACCAACCGGTCTCCCTCACCTGAGAATGAAAAGAATCCCCCTAGAAGTGGTTCTAAATCGCCAGTAGTAAAATCGAAAAAATCTCGATCAAAATCTCCCGTTTCAAAGAGCCGAAAGTCTCGTTCACCAGTGGCCAAAAATCGAAGATCACGATCAAGATCTGTGGATCGTTCAAAATCCAGAAGAACAAAATCAAAATCACCATCGAGACACTCACGTTCACGCTCTCGTTCAAAAAGTATCCCCCGAAACAAATCCCGCAAATCACGATCAGATTCGAGTGACTCAAGGTCAAGTAAATCACGTTCCAAATCACCAGATAAGCGTAGAGAGCATGGAAAGCGAAATGCTAGTACGAGCAGCAGTTCAGACAGTGACAGAGGAAAGGATAAGAATGATTTTGAGATTAGAAAGAAGAAGGATGGCATTCAAGCCAAGAGATCGTATCGTAAAACTAATAAGGATGATAGTGCGAGTGACAGTGACTCGAGTCGTGAGAGAAAATCCGGGGGGAAGAGAAGGAGCCCATCACCGAGGAAGGATCGAGATAGGTCGAAGGAGCGAGACCGTTCACGGAATAGATCGAGAGAGAGGAACAGAAGGTTTTTAAACCATTGATTATTATTTCTTATTAATGTTAAATTCCATCTACTAAAACATTGTTTTAACTCATGATTAAATAATTGCCATTAGGCGGTCATCACTGGACAGAGACAGGGACAGGAGGCGAGATCACGACAGAGAGAGGGACAGAGATCGCCCAGACAGATACAGTGGCAGTCGCAGTATGCGACCTCCATCTTCACGCCGAGCCCCGAGTTGGCGAAGGTATTAAATTGCCAAACACATTGAAAAAATAATAAAAATAAAATGACTCCAATCTGTCCTTTTAATTGCAGAAGTCCGCCTCGTAGATCACCCCCACGTTATCGTCGCAGATCTCCGAGTCCAGCGCGTCGCCGACGCTCCCCCGATCGTCGACGTCGTTCCCCAGATCCCCGTAACAGCAGACGTCGTTCACCAGATACGCGTGACAGACTTAGCAGGTACGATAGATCATCCTCGCGTGATAGATCTAGCCGACGTGATCACTCAAAGAATCGTCGGGAGAGGGAACGTAAGTCGCGCTCTAAAGAGCCAACATCCTCGCTCGATCGTTCCAAAGAGACTAAAAAATCACCGGATCAGTCTAAAGACGTTAGGGACAAATTTAAGGACAAGAGAAGCATTCCTGATGAGAAGGCCAAAGAGCCCATTATTCCTCCACGAAAAGAATTGAAAAATGGAATGTCCAAATCAAGTAGCTCCGATAGTAGCGAGAGTAGTTCCTCCAGTGATGGAGAACAACCCATTAGGTGAGTTAATTGCTTGAGTCTCATTCGTGGAGATTTCTCAAATTGACAGTGTGCCAATATTACTGAAAACATTATTATTATTATTATTATTATTAGTATTGAGGCGAATAGTTCATGTCACAAAATGAGCAATAACTGTAACTGATACAAAAAAAATAATTCCATTATTAATATGTTTTTACACAGGAAATCACCTGATGGAAAATCATTGCACGAACAACGTGATCGAGACTTGAGAGAACAACGAGAACGTGAGCACGCAGAAGATGTCAAGAGACGAGAGAAGGAGAGAATCATGAAGGAGGAAGCTGTCAAGCGTCTGGAGAAGGAGAATAAAAAAGTTGAAGCTGTAGCATCAAAGAAAACAGAACCAAATGTTCCAGCGAAAAAGCCAGTTTCATCATTGCCACTTTCTAGACATAGATTCTCACAGAGTCTTTCACGTACCCCATCACCGTTCAAGAAAACTGAGGACATGATTGCTGCGGCTACATCTTCTAAAACAAAGTTATTAGTACCAAAAGATGGCAAAGAGGATTCTCCGAAGACGGCTATAACGACAGCCGAGACTTTCCAACTGCGAAAGGACGAGCGATCAATTAAAGCGATGAAACCATTGGTGGATGATAAGAAACAGGGGATGAAGACTTTGGAGGCATCGGCACTCAAAAAATCTTTGGAAACAGTCAAGAAAATGCGAAAAGATCGAGATGATTCATCAAACTCTGATGATAGTGAGGAGGAGGAGGAGGAGGAAGAGGAGGAGGTGGTAAGGAAGAAGCAGAGGAGATCTGAAAAAGCGAGAAAATCCCGCAGGGAATCCAGCGATGATGACCACTCGGACAAGGGGACTAGCTCGGATTCAGAGGACGATAGAAAACATTCAGACCTCAAAAGGAATAAAGATGCACCACGAGCAATCGATGCAATCGATGATCGCGCCAAGGATAAAAAAGACATTAAAAAACGTGACATCAGCCTCAGCGACTCTCGCAGGAGATCAAAGAAAGATATTGACGAGGAATTGAAGAAATCCCGAAAGTCAAGGAAGGACTCATCTTCTGAGGACGAAGAGCCGAAATCTAAAAAATATAAGAATGAAGATGACAAAGCCAAGTCCAGAAAATTGAAGAAAGATTCAAGTTCGGACGATGAACTGAAGAAATCTAAAAAACGTAGAGATAGCTCTTCGGATATTGACAAGTCCAGAATGAGAAAAATGCCGAAAGAATTGATTACTGATGACGAGGGCAGGCCGAAGGCGAAAAAATCACGCAGAAATTCGAGTTCTGAGGATGAGGAAGTTGCTGATAAGGATGCAAAAAAAAAACGAAAGGTTGATGACAGCTCGGACGAGGAGAAGGCAAAGAAGAAGAGAAAGAAAAAAACAAAAACGAGTTCAACTGATTCAGAGGTAACACTTTATATTGTTATTTTTGTTTTGTTTTTTTTTTTCCAGTCTGTCGAATCGAATTTTCTACTTATATTTTTTTCTTCTCATTGTTGATAAATAGGAAAGTGAGGTAGAGGAGAAAAAGAAGAAGAAGGATAAAAAACATAAAAAACATAAGAAGCACAAGAAGCATAGGAAGCACAAGAAGAAGAAGCAAGCTGATTCCGAGGAGTCTGAAGCGAGTGAAGGTAATACCGAAGAGCTTGAAAAAAAACTTCGTGAAAAAGCATTGAAATCAATGAAAAAGGCACACAGTATGGACGGAAGTGACTGAACATTTTGTTTTTTTATAAATTTAACAACGTATACTGAAAATCGTATGGAATTTATTTACGATGTAAACTTCGAGGGAGAAGAAATAAGAGAACCCATTATTTTTATGTTGTCTATTGGTGTAGGCCACTCACTTAATTCTCGAGACATAAATAAACGGATAGAGTATGATTGTCATCATCATTATAAAAACAATTATGTCAACTGAATTTGTGTAAAATGATGAATGAATATTTAATCACTGGCAAATGATGTCCATATTTGAAGAATTTGTAAATTGCAATAATGAATTTTTGCAATTAAACTGTAGAAATTTAGTATCACAGCTTAATCCCCATTGTCATAAATAAAGGATTATAAATATACATGGATTTCAAAGTATTACTGTTTATATCAATTGTTCTATATCTCATATCGTACAAAATATTAATAGTATTAATTTATTTATCTTTCAGAGATTGGCAAGCATTGACTCCCAATCAGGTGAGCATATAAGTGTACTAGTAACTTGTCCTAAATTGACAAGTTCACTATTGGATGCATCCACTTTAGCAGCAATAAGATCCTAAAATGAAACGAAATATGCATAATTATTTTATTATTGATCAATAAATTGCATTTCATTGAGATATTTTTTTTTGTTTTTCATACCTGTCGAAAACTTTGACGTGAGCCCACGTCAATCACTAAACTATTCTCCCCAAGACGTAATATCGCTTTTCCAGACTGATGAATTTGTATTTTACCTAGGAATCCATCTTTCAGAGTATGCAATGTGCAATATTCAGGGTTCATTGCATCATTATTCTCTGGTGGTTGCTCCTTGTTTTTCTTTATCCTGGGATCTGTATCTGTGTCTACACTGTGAACCCCAGGAAGGCAATCTGGAAACTAATCAACAACACCATTTATATCAATAAACGAGTCTCCCTCATGACCAACAATGAAAAGTTGAAATACTCACTGCAACTAAAAAATAACTATTTGACTGATTATTGATGATGTGAGATACATTTCTTTCACTTTTTTCTTCTTTTATACCAGTTAATGCAGCAGCCTTCTTTTTCTTTTTCATTTTCTTTGGAGGCATTACAGCTTGGCCATTCTCCAGAATTATTGGCTTCTGATCAACCTCTTCCTCCTCTTCCTCCTCCTCGGATACACTCTCCTTTATCTTCTCCTTGCATTCTTCTTTGTACAGTTTAGCTGCAAAAAGTAATATAATATTCATAAGAACATTCGAAAAACAATTGAATATTATTTTTAAATGAACCTTGCTCCGTCAATGGTAGAATAACGGGTGCGCTCTCCAAGTTGAAATCCTCCCCATCATCAATAAAATCATCTCTCAATAATAACTTTAATTTTTTTTCCTCTTCGGCTTTATCAAATTCATAATCCAAATTGAGTTTAGATCTCTCCAGGACCATGCTGGGTTCTCTTTCACCAGTACCATTCCTGATGCCACTGGATCTTCTTGTAGAACGTCCAGGGCCACTCATTCCTTCAGAGAATACTCCAGTGGACTGTAATTTTTTTGTTTGTTTTTTTTTTCTTTCAATCAACATTTGCATTCAATTCACAGGGAAATAATCGTAATAAATCATTATGTGGTTTATACTTGAATTAAATTAATAGCAGCCTTCCCTCGACCTCTGCCACGATCGGTGGCACCTCGACCACGTCCTCTTCCACTAGTTTTCTGAGTGTTTTCGGGTTTTGCAGCAGAACCATCGCTGTATAAACCCAAAATTTGGAAAACTCATGGTGAATTTAGAGGATTTTAAACGGGTCACAAAATGTACTTACTCCTTCTTCTTGTTCCTCTGTACATTGATATTAGGTGTATAAATTTTCTTAGTAGATTTCTCAGTCTTAATAGCCCCACCTAATGTCAAATCTCTGGGTAATCTGAATGACGTCAAACGCGTGGTGGAGCTCGGAGGAGTGACATTTGAAGTCCCAGGTTCCACTTTAACCTTGATATTCTCAAATGAAGAGTTCTGGCTCGTTGGTTTTTTCGAATCCATGATTCTATCAACATCAACACCACTTTTAGGATCCCAAACGTCACGTGTACACTCAGAACCACCAACTTAACCTCTATTCGAGGATTTATAAATCAAAGAAACACAGAGATTTCAATCATACTTACCTTGATACCAAATTGATGATCCTCAATAAAATGAACAACTACAAAGGGGTGAGAATGAGTCGTTGAAATTTTCTCATGAGTCTTTAGAAAAAATGATTGAACACTTCACCACACATGTAGTTGCACCTACGACACACGAGGGATAGACACGCCATGTCGTTGTGCCCCCTCATCCTATTACAGCCTCATAGGCAACAGAATGACAGCATATGAATAAACAATCGATAGATGAAAAATTAAGCCTCAAAATTGTATTAAAAATTCACATCTCTCAAATTCTTGATGTCCGCTTTTAGTTTTGCCAGGACAAACATTACTAATGAGAAGAAAAAAAATGTTTGAATGCACATACAACTGCGCAGACGCGCAAGTGTCATTCCAAAAGCCGACACTTCGCGGAGAGATTCGAATCCCTGTGCTTTGGTATCGTAGATACCGGTGAGTGCTGCTCGTACATTAGGCGTTTCATATGTTGCTACCATGTGAATTTCATAAAATCATACTCGCATATTGTATTAAAAGTGAACAAAAGTGGAAAATTCATCAAAGTAAGAGAGAGAGAGAGCGAGAGAGAGAGAAAGAGAGCTTAGCAGACGGTCATGAACGTCAATGGATTGATGAATAAATGAAATTACGCTCTACTAACATGAGGACTTGTGTTTCACCCGCGATCCATTAAATTCAATTAAAATGAAAAATAATGAAATAAAGCGAGAAATAAATCCTCTTTTCCTCGCATGTGCCATGTGTGTGTGTGTGGGTATTCTCACTAATGGGAATAGTGTTGCTTAACATGTTAAAAATTATCACCTGAACATTAGCACTTTCATGATATCGTAAATAGTGAATTCCGCCTGAGTAATAAGGTACGAGTTGATGAATATTAAAGTACCAATTGCTCTCGGATGTCTTGAAATCACCGGAAATGAACGGAGTTCGCCGTCCGTCTGTCGAAATTTTCGACCAAACAGTACGTATCATTAAGATAATAATCAATATAACATTTACTAAACTTTTTCATGTGCCCCTATACTGGTATTTAGAGACATATTAGGTAGATTGTTGGACATCGACGAAAGTGAGAGTGACGCGTCCTTCATGAGTTTCACGTCAATTTAGCGCGAGCAAGATAGAATCATGGACAGTTCTAATTCACTGCCACCGAGGCTTACACGCGAGGAGAGAAAAGATGACAAATATTCAATTGTACAATGTCACGCACGTGCGTGGACTGAAATTACATCGTAATTTTTTTAACAAGTAATTACACGTGACTAAAATTGGAGTAATATCAACTGCTGTTAATTCTCATTCGTATCCCATGAGTTGAACATCTGGAATGCGTCAAGATTTTTTTTTTTAACGTGTACATGGCAATATTTTTTATGATTCCAATGTCGTAAGTGACAAAAATAACTGCATTGTTTTTTAAGAAGGCTCTCTTTCTCTCTCTCTCTCTCTGTCTGTCGTGCTCAACGATGCCGATCGATGACTCATTGAGATTATGATTTCCTAGAGGATTTATCATACTCTTTATACAGTGTTTGCACGCGCAATATCAACATTGAAGGCATTATTTTCATTGCATTAATGTGAACGATAACAGATGATGTCATGTTTAATAGTGTACATTTACTTTTTCTTTTTATTCCAAGAGTAATCTCCATGCAATGGAATGCACGTCGAATCCGAAGAAAGAATGAATATAGAGCATTTTGCAATGTTTCGAGACAGCTAGGCGTGCGCACGTGTTTCACACGTGGTGAAACCCAATCGCCGCCAACTGTTCATTGATTTGGGCCAGTAATTTCATTTTTCTTGGCGAATGCATAAATTTCTATGGCTTCCACATTAGCAATTTTTTTTACTCAATCCGAAAAGAAAGCGGAGGAGGTGGCATCCGGTTTTTGAGGACTAAGCGGATATTTCGTGAGAGGACACTTATTCGACAGATTATATTTCACTGCGAATCTCGTATTTCCTGTTATTCTTTCATTTTTAATGACCAAAAAGAATGAGACTGGCATATCTTCAATCAGAATAAATACACATATATGTTTTGTAATATTATTATCTCCTAGACTTTCCATTTCAATTCATTTCCTAGTTTTATCGATGACTAGAAGAGTTTAGTGGCTTCTAAGTGTGTTACAGGTAATTGACCGCGCCCTTCGTTTGGGTTATCTATAGGCTGCACCCTTTGCTACGTTTTCACCAGCCCCCAGTTCTCCATATTTCCCCAATAAAAATAATGCCGGAAAGGTTACCCCAGTCCTTTCTCTGTGAAATTAAAATGGGTTGAAACCTTTTGAAACAATATTATCAATTGTCATGAAGGTCAATGTGAAAGTTTAATTTTTGTCTTTTTGAGTCATGCCGTGAGCAAACGTTCTCGCGGAAACAATCGTCTAGTCAGAGAGGGAAAAAAAAAAGGTTTTTTATGCCTCCGATTATTCATTAACATGTCTCTCTCTCTCTCTCTCTCTCTCTCTCTCTCTCTCTCTCTCTCTCTCTGTCTCCTTGGATCATAATTCGAGAAAGTATAACGTGTCGATGCATTGTACCAGTTATTTTTATGTCTCACCAGTTAATTTCTCTCACAAGAGAGTTGACGATGATAAAGTGAGAACGAGAGATTGGTTTTAGCCACTGAATGAAAGAAAATGATGTGATGTATCACTAAAAGGAAACTGTGGGTGGCTTTGTTTAGTTTACGCCTCTTCTCAAACACCGTATACATACTATTTTTATAAGTAGAAGAGTAAAAAGTCTCTTATGAACGTTTTGTTAATGGAAATTTTCACATTTTATTCACTTATCTATTCATAATTATTTTTATGAAAGTTGTGAGTATACGTTTGAATAATTATTAGTTATGTCTTATTTTGCATTCGCATCGATGGAAATATATAATTTTACTATTCAAACGTGTGTCGGAATCTCTCGTCATCGTCGCCGTTACCATAAATCTTTATCATTTAACATCTATTATATTGTAAATGCAAGGTGGCTGGCATCGATAATAATTTTTACTTTGAATCCAACCACAAAATACGGAAGGAACCCGGAAAAAAATTGATATAATCAATAAAATGTTGGAATTAACTCCTTCCGATCCAGATCCAGATATCATTCTCAACATCATCCAGTCTATCCTCACTCACCTGCTGTTAGCAGTTTTCCCGCGTGGTTTTACCACAACCAGGCAGACTTGCTTGACTAGCCGCGTCACCGCATATCTGTCAGTTCATTGAGCTCTGAGAGCACGTTTCCGATAAAATGAAAATGTTACATTTAGTCAGAAGTTGGAGCTTTTCTTGGCCAAATAATTGTGAATTTCCGACAAGTGCATAATAAATATTGAAAATAAACAAAACATATGAGATGAAATAAGAAGGGAAGAAGGTGAATAGTGGCTCAGATTGCATGAAAATAAAGAAAAAGTATATTCTCCTCGTGGGGAAATAAAAATGAATACGACGACGAAAGGGAGAAAGGGGGAGAAATGAGAAGGACAGGCTGCACTGGCCACTGTACTTGGGTAATTGGTTTTACCTGCTTGCCGACGAAGGGAACCCACCGAGAGAGACAGGGTATAGAGTAAGAGAGAATAGAGGGGCCCCACAACGCACCTCGAAGAGTGCACACGAGTACGTGAAAGTCAACCGGTGGACTTTCAGGGTCGCTCTCCTGTGCCCACCTCGTCCTCCTCACTTGCTTTTTTCTTATACGGCGGAGTGAGTTGAACCGCGGCGCGGGGGATTTCTGCTCCAATCGTGTCCGTAACCAAGAAGGATTCGGTGATTCGGCATCGACCACGAAACATCGCGTCGCGACCAACCAGTGTATTATTCTCCCTTTAATAATCATCAAATCAAACATCAATTATTGTGTTGACAATGACGTCACGTTTCTGGAATACCTGGAGAAAAGAAGAGTCTGAGCTTGAATCACCGATTTATCACAACAACGACGAGGATGAAAATTGGTCGAAAAATGCACACAACAATGGTGAGATTCGTGAGAGAGATTCGTCACCAGCGAAACCGATACACAAGAATGGTAAATCACACGGCAATACAATAAAAGTTGATCATCGATTTGAGCCCTGGACGTCAAATGGCAGTGGTTCAATGACAGATGACAATGATAGAGTCATTGGTGCGAGACTGATGAACGGTAAGTCAAGTGCAAGCAACGGTTCAGGAAAACAGGTCAAATGTACTGATGATTTGTCAGAATTGCACGACTGCAATGATTTTGTTAGAAAACATGAATCATTTGAAGATGATGAAAGAAAGAGCAGTGGAATCAAAAGATTGACCAATAACATTGAGAATTTAGAGTACAAAGGTGGCTGTATTGAGAGGGATGTCCTCAATCGAAGGCATTCAAAACAGGAGAATCCTTTTATGTTGAAGGATGAGAGAACAAATGGTGATTTCATCAATCCGAGAAGGCCATCTGGGAGGGAGAACGAGAGTATGTTTGTTAATTTAGTTGGCAAGGGCCACAAGGAGGATATTTATTCGCAGAGATCATCGAGATATACCGAGGATTCACCAGATCGTGAAGTTGAGAATACATTGAAAGATACCAATAGCAAGCGCATAATGAATGGTAGCAGAACGCGACTGAGTGGTGAAAATTATGACGTGCAGTTTATTAAAAAATACGGGAGGACTGTGGCCAAAGGACCACAAATAGACGTTGATCTAGTCAGAAAAAGTAGAAAGAATTCGCTGGAGGATAAGAGCTCCAGCTCTTTCAGTAGAAAGAGCTCATTTGAGTACCATTACAGAAGCGGTGATGCTGATGATAAGCACATTGAATCTTCACGCTCATCACCAATAAAGCGTGATGCCTTTTACGACAGAGATAATTCTGCTGATAATTCATCATCTAGAGTTGGTGGTGGAGATCATCATTCGAGAAATGAATCGTGTGAACGTGACAGTGAATATGTCAGAAGTAAATGTGATGTTAAGAAGAACGATCGACACTCGAGGCCACTAACACCACCTACAACACTGGCCGCCGATCACGAGGTCAGCCATAATTATACTATAAAAAATTCACGTGTTTTGTCCTCGAAACCGGACCCTTACGATGATTTTATCAGGAATAAAAATAGGAACAAAGCTCATCGCAATTCTTGTGATTTATCGTGGATTGATAGAGAATTATCACGGTATTCGGATGATGACGAGTCTCCGGAGCGCGAGTGTAGCAACAGATTTAGTGGTAATAATCGTAGGGAAAATCGAAATGGTGATTTTTCGACGATTGAGAGAAATGGAACAACAGTCATTCGCATTCGTGGGGCTTCAACGAGTCCTGTGGTGATGAGAGATGAAATGAAATTTGACAGTCGATCATCGAGAGATGAATCAGAAAAAATACCAAGGCGATTTGTCGATGACGACGAGGATTCAGAGGACTACGAGGATTTCTTCAATAATCGAAAGAGAGAGTCTGCAGGCTCACCCCAAGTCACCCAATGTCGTCATCTTGATTCGGTATACATTCATATACATTTGACTTTATATTCAACACAGTTCAATAACCGAAAATTTAAATTGTACGTGTCTTTTGCAATACCTCATATACGAAAGAAAAGAAACATGAGGAGAGAAAAAATCATGAGCGAACAAACCGCCCACTCGTTTTATATACACCGAGAGACATCGCGTAGGTTATACATATACAAATATACCATAGTAACACTTGTACAACTCGACTCATATGAAACATCTTTTTTTTCTATCGTATGCAGCTTGCACGGCCAACTCGCCGTTATAATCGATGGACATGTGAGAAAGTGTCGTCTCTTCCATATCCCTGCAGTGCATAAATCTCAATGTTCATTACTTCGTTTTCCTCCACTTTTTCTCGGCTTACAACTATTTCAGGGACATGGAAATTTATTTTCCCTCGGCAATTTAATTCAACGCGGATTATAACGCGGAAGTTGTTTCAACTAAAATGTTGAATTACTCGTTGCAATTAGATATTCCATGACATTTTCATTTAATCCTGGAGGGGATTTATTGGATAGGTGAACTCGAAATTCAACCACCTAGTCGATATTTGGCCATGTCCACAATTACAACGTCAATCGAATCCAGTCCATGTGGGCGTACGAACCATATTCGTATAGTTGTCCTCCCTCAAGTCTCTCACTCTTTTCAACACCTTGTTTATACCGCCAAATTTTTAAAGCCTTCTCTTGTCTCGTGTTCCAGCATTTTTCAACAAAAAATATCCAGTGAGCTCCTTTGAGCTCACCATGTGTTATTTACCCTCTCCCTCCTTTTTTTATGAGTAAATTTTATGTTTTAGACCGTACAAATAACAGACCTTGAGGATGGCCAGCCGTGTTTACAGTGCGGCGAGACTTGTCCTGGTTTTTCACCGCATAACTGGAGGTAAGGATAATGCAACGTATAATTAGTTTAAAAGGTTTAATTGTTCGATTTAATCGTCCCATCTATTCTAGTTTCTAGTGCGAAATTTTTTTTCTCAATAAAATTGAGTCAGCTTCAATTCACCATTGACATGTGGTAATTACCGAGTCAACGGGCCAAGAATTTCATGAATTAAATGCCGACGGAGCACAATTTTAAATACCACAGTTGCGCATACAACCCAATAGTGAATTTCGGGAGAATATAATGTGACACTCTCTACTTCGCATCGGACTTTGGCTCAGTTCATTTTCAACAGTTTTTCAACGCGACTATAAATGATTTAGTAAAATTTAGGGAAATTGTAGCGAATACAAAGAATCGAGAAGTAAAAAATGTTTTTCAAATCATCCGTCGATTGACATGTGTTTGAACGCTTTGACAAGTGCCTAACCGTCATCGAGGCAATAAAAAATTGCCCAGTGAAACAAATAAGAGTGAAGAAGAAAAATGGCGAGTTTACGGTGACCTTTTTCGTGCATTATGTGTGCACTTGGCGAATGTAAACGAAGAGAGTAGGGCAGATTGGAGTCGGCTAACTCAACACTGGGTGAGACATCACACACGTTTTATTCGTGGGTGCAGTTGCAGTGGTTGCCACGTGCTTAAAGAAAAAAAAACACCCAACACTCAACAATCTCCACAATCTCATTCGTAAGATATAGTTAAAAATGCAAATTGAGTGAATACTGTATTCGTCACCATTGGGGCAATTATGTCTACCTTGATTGTAGGATAGTCAAGGTATTTTTCATCATCTCTCGCGTGTTTTCATTCAGTCTTTGGGAATACTCGGTGGTCTCGTCAAGTCTAGTAAAAACGTACTTTTCCAAGTTGAATTTTATCCCGAATAACAGTGATTTTGAGTGTTTGTTGGAAAGTGTCTGGTGAATTTTGCAGTGTTTTTTCTTTTGTGATGCTGAACACGCAGTTAATTTTTCCACGAAGTGGAGTGGACGTGACGCTGCACTTTTGCAAAATAGCAGAATGCATATTGATGCGTGAGGCATTGGTGATACATTCTTTGTAGTCTTTGCATGTGTTTACCTCCTACATTTTAAATACTGAGCAGGTGGCATCAAAGGTTTATTATACCTTTTATTATAAATTTCTGAAAGGTACTGAATATTCGATTTTTACGAGAGAATATACATTCTATTTTTGGATAGCATAGAGTTGAAGCGTTGCGAATTATATAGTATATTGTGATTTTGACTTGTTTGCATTGACCCATTGTTATGATTTTTAAGGAGAATTTTCTCACTGCCAGATTTATTTCAATTATGACGGTTCGATGTGACTCGGAGTCACCCACGCATTCCAAGTAGGCTAATATCACCTTCAGCCTTTGAGTGCACTTAGTCACTCTACAATTCTTCATCTCACAAAGCCAATGGTGGTCGTTAAACCAAATATTTGGAAAATGACACATTCTCGCATTCCCGGAGAATCGAATTGTTCATTTATTAGGGGAATAATTCTCTGTGATGAACAAAGAGAAGATAGCTTGATTCAACTAATTCACTCCTCAACTGAATTACATTGTTATCAGTGACTGAATATTATCATGATATAGCAAGCCACATACTAGTTGGGCATTATTACGTGGCGTTGTAAGCCTTGACGATGAGAGCCTTCACCGATAAACATAGACCCTCTCAGAACACTCCAGTTTCTACATTCTCACGAGTTGAGCTCGCGTTGATTTAAAGATTTAATGAATTTCACTCGTCTCCCATTATCAGATTAAATGCTAAATTTGAGTGACTGTTCTATCATCTACAAATTGCGCAAACGCGGAATCTAGAGATAAGGTCGTTATGATTACAGACGTGCAGTTGAAAACATTCAGTGAGTCAAATTTGTCTGAACAGTATTATTATTAACTATAGTTATATAACATAACACGAGAATTTCCAATTTTATAATGTTGAATTCCATTTGAATTGTTGACAAATCAAAAGCAAGTGATTTGTCAATAGCAAAAGACATATGGAATTTCCAACATTGAACAATAATGGTTTTCAAGATCGGTGAAAGAGTGCATTGTGGACCTGTTGAATTTTAATATCCATCATTATATCTATATTTAGAATGTGATCATCACTATATGTATAACCGGGTAAGAGTAGTATTATCGCCGCTGCGGGCAATAACGCTTCAACCGCGACAACATCAAATAAAACGAGTTTTGGCGTTACTTTTAGTATATCCTACTAGTTGGTATTCCATCCGATACACGCACTTTTTATTAACCTCTCAGATGAATCGGACAGTGGTGGACAGTGGTATATATACCCAGATTCGTGAGAATTTACTAACTCTATGTAATGTGCAGGCCAAATTGTGTGTGAAAACAGAATAACCATTCACAAGTGGATACTAGTGTCTGAGTGGATTAACTCTGGTTGAATGAATGATGGGGGCCAGATGGGAGGCGAGAAAACACACGACTATTGTTCATGACGCTGTAAATGCGTATGATGATGGAGATGACGAGGTCGAGGAATGTTGTAAATCTACTAGACTTGATGAAACTGGGTGAGTCTTGCGTTTACACGATATTTTCACATTCAAATGGACTCTCATTTCAAAATTTCGGATCAACCAATGAGATTAACCCGTAGCTGATAACGAAGTTATTGATTTGCGATAGCAGTTCCCAAGTTTGTTGTTTATCATTGAAAAAAAAAACAGGGGAAGACAAAATCAGCAGTTTCAACTGGCGTATTGGAGTGTGAATAATCAAACCACGAGAGAGATATGCTTTCAAAATCGTATTTAATGACCGATATTTATTTTTCGATGTTTCACCCAACGGCAGAAAAGTGAAAGTATTACATTGAATGTAACGCGTGGTGTTTCAATCGTTTTCGTTTCTTTTTCGCACATATATCTATCGACACGTCATACTGAAAGAACGGACAATGGCATATGCAATGCAAAACGCTTGGCGAAGGTCATTTTACGTGCAATAGTTAACTCTATGTCATCTTCGCTTTTTTGTCTCGTATTTTTTCATCATTTTCATTCTCCTTGGTACATGGAGTGGAACTTTGGAGTTGAGGAGTATTACAGCTGGAAGGACGCGTCAGTCGGAATGCGAACGCGAATCATTGTATATAGTAGTTTGGACACTTGGAGAGAGTGCGGTCGGCGGTCAGCTTGTTCTTTAGATTCTTTCATTGCTCTCCTGTGCTTAATTCATTAGATATGTGTTGCCATGTATTATTAAAGACAACAAGCTTTTTTGTGATAAAAAATTGTCTTCGCTTTGTCTTCGCTTTCTCCTCTGAATTCATTAGTCGACCATTTATTTAGTGAATAATATTTTTAAACTGCCAGTCATCTGCTTCATATTTGTAAACTGGGAAAAATTCCTTTTGTATCTCCTCGCTAAGCGGATTATTTGAATTCGATTTGCGATATCTGGTTTACAGAGTGGGGGAAGTGGAACAGAGTGTTACACTAACGACCATCATCAGTGTGAGTTGAACGCGATTTATTCGTAGACATTAGAGTTTTGTCTCCCCATTGTGAATGACTGGTGATAGAAAAAAATGGTTTGGGACGATGGGTTATCGGTGAGAGAAGTGAATGAGGAGAGGAAAAAGACTCCAAAGTTTCCGTCGAGGGAGAGAAATTTTGCGGTGAGACGACGTGGACCTAGACGTGTTCCCTCGGTCCGTGAAAGTGAGATATCACTGTGCAATAATTCATCGGCCTCTTTAGGTGATAATACGAGTGGTGACGTAGATTTTTGTCAGTCTTGCAGTAAAACTCCGCTGCCTATCGAGTAAGAAAATTTTTTTTACTTCAGTAAAAAAAAATGAGAATTGATTAAATCCATTCCTCTCGAGTAGAAAATCCACATCCCTATTTACGTCACCTATAGTCCAAGGCTGTGAACCATTTGATGAGTCATTAAAATATTAAACTTCAATTCAAATCAAAGAAACACTAGGTCCTATCAGTACGACTAGCGACCGGCGAGTAAACATTCAGCGAAAAGTGAATGTTTTATGCTGCTGCATAAAAGTCGAGAGTACGATTGGCATTATTTACAAGTGGCCTGTCATATGAATGATATTTTTAAAATGAGATATGGAAAAAAATGTCCCATCATTATTGCGGTATTCTTTTAAACAGTAGGTGCGATGCCCTAAAGCGTTGGGAGTATTTTTTTCAGTCCCCCGTAAATCACAACTGTAACTACAAAAACTTGAAATCAAGCCCATACCTTGGAGACTTTATGTGCCGTCCAATTCTCCTCATGTCATGACTATAAATTTATAAATATATGTTTGTGTATTCCGTAAATAAACTTTTCACATTGATGAGGGAGCAGATGATCTCAATTGTCACAGAATTAATCAGTGGATCCCTGCATTTGTAGGTATTGCCCATAGAAAAATTCAATTTTAATTAGTCCACAATAGTTGAATCAATGAGGATAAACAACGCAATGGAGGAAGTGACACCATTCATTTGTCAGCCATCAAGGCGCGTGCAATGAATATGAAATTCAACCCAACTCGTGCGCCCTTCAATTCATACCACAGAGCTGTGTTGAGTCTTTCCCACTGTCAAGGCAATCGTAACTCGAAAGTTCAAGGGAAATCGGATTAAGCATATGAGAACACAAAATAGTTTATGAATGGATTTACAGCGTCTCCATCGTCGAAAATAATTCTGGACCGAGGAGTACGCAACCACAAATTTTCGCTGCTCCATATATTATAATGCTACTGTGAGAAGGTTTGAACATTGGAGGGAACGAACCGTCAAGTTTCTCTGCCAAACAGGCATCACGTGTCATGTCATAATCCCCACCTTGGCCTTTCAACTACGCCGAGATTTTCGGCTCTGGGGCTTTGATGTGTGGATAAAGCGATCGAAGATTTTCAGCTTCTTTTTACCGCTGGGTGCTCGGTTTACTAACAAAACCATTAACTTAACGATACCTTACGTAAATGCTTGTCAACTGTGTCTAGCGGGCGGAAAAAGAAAAAAAAATTAATACCAAGGTCACTGTGTTTGTTACTCGTCTGTCACACAAATGAAATTGAAGATGCACACCCTACTCTTCACTCACTATTTCTATCTCCTTGTCCCTTATATTATGTGCATCAGGTGCACATAATATGAGAAACCATATTCAATAAATTCAAGAATGAATGAATGACTCTTTCAGATGAGAAAGTTGAGTTCCACGTGAGAAATAAAAATAGGAAATGGGGGGAGGAAAATTTTTTTTTCCCATCTCAAAATTGCAGAGATGACACCGCGTGTCGAGAGTTTAGCATTGGGGCGCGTGCGCGTCTTTAGCCCACAGGTTTTCCGTGTGTATAGGTATGCCAATCTACGTAGTGCCCGTATGGCGCCAGTTTGAAGTAAACTCCTTCTGCGGATGCACTCTTTCATCTTTCGTAAATGCCATTGTAATTGAGAATAATCACCCTCTGTCCTGGCCAAAATTGGTGATTAAAGTTCAATTATTGTTCCATAACTCTTGGTGTATTATTAAGTGTACAACAGTGTAAACTGCTCGATCTGTCAGAGGTGGAGCGTGTGGGTGAAAATTTCTCGACAAAATAAACATGCAATTTTCAACATTTCTCATTATAATAAATCACTGATAATGTATTGTTAAAAAAAAAACCCGATAGACACTGGAAATCAGTGAGATTTATCGTCAAGTGAAGCAAACCTTACAAAACAAGTGTGAAACTATTTTAAACGATGACCATTACCGTCTCTTCATACATTAAGTATTTATCTAATTAATAGCCATTAGCCAGAGCTACCGATCCCTCTTATTCCATTACCGCCAAGCAGATACGCACTAAAGCGAGAAACGTAGGAGGTATAACGTGGCCTCTTTTGATAACACCTGCGCGCTATTCCTCGTGTCATTCACGAGTTGTGCATAAAATTATTTTATTGTTTCAACAAGATAGTTTGTTTATTCTCAGTCAAGTGTATCCTTTCATATTCCATCAAGTCTTGGGTGGTTTCATTTCTGTCCCCAATGAGAGGAAAAAAAAATCGTTAGTAATTCTGAAATATACAAAGAGCTTTATCTCACATGTCAGATGTATCAATGATTATCCGCCGAGGAACATCGTAAGGCACTCCAATATTATTGACTGATAGTAGGGAGTTGGAGAAAATGTATATCTGAGGGCGTTGAATCTTCACATTGTACAACCCCATTTCATTTTCCCCCAGGTCATTACTTAAAAATTTCTCAGAAAGAAAAAAAAATATCAAAATTGATTGGTTATTTCGTTGAAAAACCATTGGCTGATGTTTAATTGAACCTCTTTGGTGTCATCCTACCAGTTATAGAGCAATTAATTTCCCCTTTGGTTAAACAAGATATGTCTAATTTATATACTTTAGAGTATTGAATACAATGAGAGACGATAGTGAGACGATAGACTGCTAGACAGGAAAATGTTAAAGTGAATAATAGAGTTTTCCACACTGAACGGTCGACTCCAGCGGCGTCACACGACGCCAACCCTATTGTCAGGATTCGTCACAAGAATGAGCCCAAAGGGTCAGGGTATTCAGGAACCACCGAAGATGGAGGTGAGGGTGTCCTGTGTTGCTTCACCAGGCGGTGAGCCACAAGGAATACGCGTAAAAATTGCCGAACCAAAAAAAAGACCGGTTAGTCCACCCTACTGTCGCGACACGATGCGCACAAGGTGTCCTTCTGTTCCTGAAAAGGATTTATACAGGAAAACATCGTCACTCGATCGTCGTGAAAGGTATCCGACCTTGTCTGGTGCTGAAATAAAACAGGGAGCTAAAACGACAGACGTATTACCAAGGAGCAAGAGAAATCCAATGTTGGATAGAAAAAATCGTTTCCCCACAATTTCAGGCGCTGAATTAAGAAGAGGTGTTACGATTGGTAAATGTCCCCTTGAGGACGGACTTGATCTCAGTCTTGCACCTTGGCCTGGTATGAAATGGGCCTGTGTAAGGGTTCTACATCTTTACTGTAAGGTCTTCGATCAATTTGAGCTTTTCGAGCTCATTGTTAGGTAATGATAAACTTCAGTCAATGTTTATAAAAAAATAATAAAAAAAAAAACAAAATAGAATTAAGAAAAAATCTATGCCATCTAATTTTTTATAAACCTCCAAAGACATTCGTCCAACATTTAGCTTCAATTATATTCCGATTTGTCTACTGCAAAACACGAACGTGCTTTAGTACCATGCAAATCGGATTACTCTCATTTAGCATATAGACCTGTTCAAAAGGGCGTATCCATTTGTCCATTTACCCTCGCACACCCGACTCCAGTTATTAACTGATCGATAGTGCATCACTCTTTCTCTATTTATTCTTCATTATTTCCCCTCCTAAACACCAGATACTTGGAGAACTTTAATGAAAAAATCAACTTGACAATACCCTTGACATCTTAGCTGCGATAAACTTTTCGTTATTAATTTAAGGGCTTTTAATTAATCTCACAGGTATCGTGTAAAAGGTCGGGTAGCAGGGGGAGGGGGGTGGGGCGGATCCCTTTGGAACTCTTCTCAACTACTTGTAATCTCGAATATTTCAATTGAGGTGTCGAAGGTATTCCAAGATCCTCTTAAGCCGCCTTTCAAAGGGTGTTAAACCTCATTAAATAGTCCCCCCACCCCTCTTGGGACAATTCCCTGCGCTACTATCATACAGTGGAATTCTTGATATAACGAGGAACCTGGGGAATATTAACATTTCCCTTTTATATACACTCATGGAGTCATTTGACTGTTCTCTTTGACGTGATTCCTCCCCTCTAAAGAATTTCATTCCCTAATGAGAAAGGTCTCTTGTGTACTCTAAAAGTTTATGGGGCCTTGACATCATCAAGGTAAGATGATGCATTTCCGGGAATTATAATTACGAAGTATCCCTTGGCTTAATGCTTACGTGCGTCATTTTAGAGAGATAGAGAGAAAGAAAGGAATGATCTCGGGCGATGTTCCAGAATTTTGATAGACTTGACTACGGATGATGCTTCACTGTGTTGTAATTTTACCTAACGAAAAATTAGTATTTGACGAGAGACAAAAATATATCTATGGCACCACGTACTTGTTGAGTGACAGCTGGCCCCGACTAACTAACATAGATCTATCAACAATTGTTATCCTCTTTAAACCAATTATTTGTCATTGTGGCAAGATGAGATGAAATGAAGTTTCTCCTCTCCCCTAATAAAAAAGCAATTTTTTTTTTCATTAGAGAAAATTTGATATGAAGGCATGCCTGAGAGCATCTCATAATGCATTTTACTGATAAATACATGATAAAGTCTGACTGTGAAGAAAATATATCTGTCGCCATTGTTGGAAAAAAAGGACAATTCAATCACATGACAGATCAATTTTTATGACGCCAAGTGAGGGAATGGCAGTTCTTAATGAAAGGTGCTCCCCTGACAAATATTGATCATCTCCTCATAAACCTCCCCATGATTTTAATTAGCCGTTAGAGCCCAACTAATTTAATAAAATGTAACAAAGTAGTGGTAAAATATTGCTCAAATTTCAGAAAAAATTGTACGAGTTGTAAATGTCCAAAGGAGGCCCACGATGTGTGTCACGAAGAGTGGGTGTCGGTACGGGCACGTTTGGGTCTCAAAGGCGATGCTGGGACGAACAATTACGTTGGCTTCGAGCCGCGTGAAAGAGGACTGGCATGGGCACCGCCGGGTCTACCACCAAACAAGGTGATGCACAATTAACTATCTTAATTCATCCTAATTTTCAAACTCGTCACTGACTCCCATAAATGACCAAGAGGAATCCTTCAAATTATGTCGGGGATAGAAAGTAAATTAGCATGGACTATCAAAACATTAATATCAATTTTGCCGACTGTAAAAGAAACAATTTGAGTCTTACGTGGCGTGAAGGTACACAAAATCTCTGGTTAGACGATGATAGATGTTTAAATAGAACATCAAAAGAGTGAGGCAAGATGGTGATGAAATGTTTTACTACATAACTCACTCTTTTTTTTCATTTTTTGTTTTTTCATAAATGTTTGATACACTCGTCAATGAACCCCTGCGTTTAAATATTGAAAATAAACCATGTACGATTTACACAGCCACTGACTCTTGGAGCCTTGCCAGAGTTCAATATATTGAAAATATCTGTCATAATTTACCCAAAATGCGCATATGACACCGTAATGACTACCGCAAAGCAACCATCTTTTATCGCCAATAATTCTATTTTCCTTCCTCAATATTAACGGCTTTATGCACTCTTGAAATTGAAAAATTTACGATTGTTAATAGCCGATTTGCTTGAGTGGTAGTGTCTGCTCCCTGCCAAATCATCAATCTGGATTTTTATTTATTCCCTGCAGTAGGCGATTGAAATGAATGATAACAATGAAAAGTAACGTTAATCTCGGTGTTTGCCAGGTGGAGGAGTACTTTTCAATGTTACCAGAAATATCAGTACCGAGACTTGGTACACCGGGTGAACGTCACAGGGATCGCCAGTTGTCGACCCAATTACCAAAACAGGATTTAGCAAGGGCGTACTGTAGACATCTAGATCCTCAGCATTCAGCAAGTGCTGATGATTTTATGGCAGCTAGAAATGAAATTGCACTTGACATCGGGACTGTGCAAGAGGTATTCGAGAGGAATCATGTGAGTTGGATGAGGAAGAATTTCAAACAATTTCAAACATCTGTTGAATGAAATGATCTCGATGATAACGAGTTGAATTATTATTGTAGGAATGTGGAACCTGTCACGAACCACTCAAGTACGGTAGCCTGGTGATAATGGCCAGTAAACTTGGACAACTCTATCATCCGACGTGCTTCAAATGTACACATTGTGATGAATTGCTGGTTGACCTGGCGTATTGTGTTCATGACAATGCATTGTACTGCGAACGGCATTACGCCGAGGAACTCAAACCAAGATGCGCGGCCTGTGATGAGGTAATTTCACCATTAATTTCCTTTCCTTCAATTAAATTTGCTCGTGAGATGATCGGACCCATACGTTCAAACTGATATATCACAGGAGCGAAAAGTAAGTAGTAATGCCCGTAGGGGTCAGACTCGTCCGATTAACTCTCGGCTGAGTGAATTATCCACTGTATCGACTACATGCAGTCTACTATATCGGCCTCACCAGCAGTGATTATTATACTTAGTTTTTGAATCTACCGAACACCGACAGCGCTGAAGCCTGAGGCTATTAATAAAATGGAAAAATTCCAAATTTACGAAATCCTAATGTCATATATTCCGGCATTACAGTTTGCATTGAATAATGATAATATCTTGTCCTCCATTGATAGTCGCCGATGATGGAATCATTTCTATCTGCAGGACATTTATGTATCAAATATATTTAGCAACAAACGCTACTTCTATTCGCTGTTTGCGCTAACTAAATATTTGTTGTTTTCTGTGCAAAAAATAAATGACACTATCATCAGACTCTTTACTCGCCTTGTAATGCCGGAAATGGCAATGAGGAGGATGGCACGAGGTGAAAATTTAAAATTGTCTTCGGGTCAACAACGAGTAATAGAAAAACATGTCGAAATATCCGCGGAATTATGTGAATAATAAAGCAATGTCGTAGTTAACTAGTTTGTCTCAGTCGTCTGACGGAGATGCAAGTGGGCCACATACGGTCTTTATTTAGATTGTTCTAAAATAAAATTTAGGGGTACAAGAAATCAGAAACTGCGGAGTATCTCACCAATCTTCTCTTCCATCGCTTCTTCATCTCAACTACAGAGGCAAATGTTTTATGCGTATAATGAGACGATGACACTTGGCTCATTCATTACATTTATCGATTGATACTTTTTCAAACTTATTTTTATATTGTCTTCACTTTCTGGTACTATTGGCAGTGATGAATCTTCCAATTTCTGGGAAAAATTAATGACTTGGTTTCCATCCAAAAGGAAATTCTATTACCTTTGGTTGGACATCAGCAATACTTGCTTGGTAATATCTATTTTGAATTTTGCATATTCCCACCACATGCGGTATATTCTGATCCATCCAGAGCCACTCCTTTTGGCCGATTATTTAGAGCCAGTCATCGAAAAGTCTCTCGACAAATATCGAGTCCAACATCTAAATCTTTCATCCCCCTCATTTTAATCATTTGACATTTGGGTAAGTTCTCAGATCCACTGAATTCATTCAAACAGAATTTCCAATTGTCGAGTTTCAGAAGAGAAAAAAAAATCGAAAAAACCTGTGACAAACTGTTGACACTCTCCATCGTCAATTGTGAAAATGTTATATTTATTTTTCGAATCATTATGATAATCTGTTGACAATGTCAGTTTTTCTTCCTCTTTATGTCATTAGGAGGACTTGATCCACAGCTTGAAACAATGAATAAATCAAACAGATTTACAATGTTTTTAGTTTAAAATAACTTGACCCCAAAGTCCCTTTGCACGCGAGACCGTCAGGTGAACAGTGTGAAACCCTTATTTTTTCCGCATTGGTTGGTCCTTGACACGGTAACACACAGTACCGGGTTATTAAGATTCCCTCCTGGCTTCGAAAATCAAAGTTTTCATCTCGAGGAAAATTAAATATTTATCCAATGCGAAGTGCAATAGAAGAATCAGTTGAATTATTGTGCTATGAACAGTGAAAATTGTATATTTTCATCGTCTGTAGAAATTTTTCGACAAGATGAATGGGCACAACTGGGTCGAATGTTTAGCTCATGGCACGGAAATAATCGAGTCTCTAACCAGTTCGATGGTGTTGAATATATATCAGACGAGTGTTAAGGGTTGCGAGCACAACGAGCCACACATTCTCATTTGGTATTTGCACTTGACCAGTATAACCAATGTCACATACTTGTTTTCAAATTATTTATTCCAACCATTGAAGGGATATCACTATTCCGACATCTGATTTAAAATCGAAAATAGAGAAAAAGAATATTCGCCTTTTGTTCTAATAAGGAAATGTCAATCAATTGTTGAAAAAAAAATTAAAAAAAAAGATTAATACTTTTTTTTCCCACAAGTCTCTAGACTGTCTTGAGTGGTTTTATTTTAGCCGAGTTATTTTCTACCTTCGAACTGAGTGGATTACAAATATAATTCTTATCGCGAGTTCGATAGATTCTCAATCCTCATATACCATTGGAAAGCGTCTGCCCAATATCTGGCAATTGGCCAGACTTTTCGTACCGAGCGCAAAAGCGCGTATGGATGATGATCGTCTGACGTGGGCACGTAACCGATGATGAAGTAACCGAAAATAAAATACTATCCCACGCTCTAGCAAACATCCATTGGAAATATTCGTGTGTCAATAGGATGAAACCAATAACAAACTAGAAATTGGTTATTCCCTTTTTGAATGATCAAAGTGGAACTCGATAGGTTATTTAGAGAATTTGGTCTTATTCTTACGTTGAGCGAGTTTCATTTGCCGATCTCATCACCGAAAGTTCTCTCCTCGGTCCCCATTTCTTCTCGCAGGAGTGATAGCTGCCAACAGTGCTAGCATGTTAATTAACTGGCCGAATCATCGATCGACTTGAGGCCATATGGTAACATTAAGGACATTGCTCATCCAGGGACACACTAATTTTAGCCGATAGCCCCGGGTTGTGCGTTTGGCCCCGTGTCATCATCATCATCATCATCATCATCATCATCACCGTCATATAGGTGGAACACGCAATCGTAATAGTGACAGAGTCGAGACTTGTGTGGCCCACTTATATGTTCGATCTAACTTTGTGAAGAAACAAAACTCAAAACCAAATCAGTTGTGGCTCGTGACTTATATTAACCGGGCGGTTCCAATTCGTAATTACTAATTAGTTGTTGAGATGAAATGAAGACTGATAATTTTATCGTTGATTTATGATGAGAACAGGATTGAAGATGACTGTGGAATTGGCGCGCTCATAGCAGTGCTCGGTAAATCATGAGATAGTTCATAATGGTGTGCGAAATAGTGTGGGTGTAGACGTCTTACACAACTGGGCACCTGTGACAAGGTGCTTTTTGGAAATGATCTTCATGTGGACATTCATAATTTTTCTTCAATTTATTTCAATGAAATTATCAAAGTGAGAGAGATGGGCCTTTTGCTGTCGATTCTCGTTGGATGCGTGGGTGTCATTGAGCTTTTAGCTGCCTTGAAACAAGTAACAAACGATGTGGCAACTTCACCAGCACCCTGCCTGTCCTATCATAACTCCATCATCGAGACACCGAGCTTTCACGACTCAATATGCGGAATTACACACTCGGGAGACCTCAAGATGCCCCGGAGTGCAAAAAACAAATTGGAAAATCTCCACGAATATAGCCTGAGAGTGAGAAGTCAACTACGATCTCATGGATATGGAGATGGCTCAACTCTCTCGGAAATTAGCAGCCGCGATGCTCTCGGACTGTCCCGACCAGATTCTCGTCTCAGCATGGACTTTGAGCGTGACGCAACACAGGCGGAGGGTTGTTTGTCAAGACTCTCGGATAATGCCCTATCGTCGGCCCAGGATGTCATTATTGAGAAGATCATTAAACCGGAGGGTAATTCAAGTCCAGTATTATTGAGTGCATCATACAATGATTCAGAGGATGACTTACTGACAGAAGAATATTTCGAGCATGATACACAAGTACGACAAACAAAATATTCATCATCATCTCCGAGATCGTCGATGGAAGATACTGTCGAAATAACTAAAAGACTACGTAGAAAGAAAATTGTCAAGAAAAATGAATCAAAGTCGCCAGATTTTCTCATGGATACCATTGTTCTCCAGGGTAATTTGTTAAATACCAAAGACACCCATAATATTACAATTTCTCACGAGCAATCGTCCCAGAAACGATCCAAACCAAGCAAAAGTGGAAGCTCAATTTTGCGAAAGCCGACGAGACTAAAATCGAAGAATGCGGAGATCAGTAAATCAGCTGAGAATCTTTCCCAAAAGAAAACAAAACGCCAACGAGATCCTGAGAGAAGAAAATCAGATATTTCAGTACAGACAGTAGGAAATTATTCTTTTCGAGACGAATGGACCAATACATCACTGACTGACAGTGAGGGGTCGATATCGGCAAGTAGATCAAGTGTTTCCGTTCAAGTACAAACGAATTTTGACGCCGACGATGAATTCACGTTCGCCAGTCTTAGATCAGAGAGTATAAAAGATATTGGATTGTTGAAGCAGAGGGATGGTAGAAAATCATTTCGGAGTAAAAGATTTCCAAAGTCACGTTCACTCGATGATAATGCACCAGTCTACAGTGAATTGTCTGATTGTCAATACAACCGAAATAATATTCCATTGTTTGAGAAGCATTGTCTTGACAGCAAGGGGGTTCAGTCATTTGGAAATCCTGAGGTCGCCGCGAGTCACAAGTTTTCGCACATGTCCCATGATAATGAAGAGGAGTCGATCGATGAAGAGTTTTGGGATGCCGAAGACTCGGCTCAACAGCAGAATAATGGCCCTATTCAATACTGCATACCTCATAATCAAGAGAGCACCAAAGCTTTTTGGGTAAATTCGATTCAATTTTTCCATTTGATTTACATTTCCTTCTAGTGTCTGTTACGTATAGTAAATGCAAATAGAAAGGGACAACGCCAAAATACACAATAATAAATCAGAAAACAATGATCACCGTAATTAATTGTATTGTTTTGTTCTATTGATATTTACTCGGGTAGAAAACAATACATTGAAATTTGTCCAATTTCCTGTGAACTCTATTCAGAACTGAATAAATCATTAATTTGCTCAGATAATGGATGCAATTATCCCGTGAGTGTGTTTCAATACGTTATGAAATACAGTTATAGTTATAGTATTATTACAACTGTACTTTCATTATGACAATATCACAGATGATCCTTTCACATTACGTGAAAACTGTCAACTCCCCTCGATGCCACAGTTTCATCTTAGCAAACTCACAACTTCTCCTCCCATAACCACACGCATTTTGTGGTGCCGTGTGACTCTTGAAATGAAAGCGTCGCGTGGGCAAGACAAAAATATCAAACCCTACGGTTGCAATTTCATCTGTTGGGCACTTTTCAGTTCATCAAGTACCAAAAACTTGGATTCCCTCATCATATTAAGTAATTGAACTTACTCCCTATTCTCTGATCGTTCGATTATCGATCAAATTGATTGCATAATATTTACACAATGAAGGCGGAAAAAAATATTGAATCCCCGAATCATTGAGAAAGTTGATGTGAGCGCCATAATTTTTATGCCCAAGACACTTGAAAAAAATCCCCCCTGACGCAGGGTTCCAAGACATTGGTGATGCGTGGAAAATGCCGACCCACTTTACAGCCCCGCGATATCTTTTCCCCAGTTTTCCTTCTTCAGTGCCTTCAACTCATCTCTATTCATCTCCCTCTATATTCTCCCACTCTGGTATAACTCGTCCAACCGACAGATCGTATCGAAAAACCACCTGCTTGGCACACTATCAAGTCGGCGTGTGCTCGTTCATCGTCTCCAATCCTCCCTCTCCCCCTATTTACCATAGAGCATTGTTGGTGATGTGCGAAAAAATTCACATCAACTTGTTTACGTTTGTATGTACTCACTCCCTCTCACATATTTTTTACGACTACTCTTGTTTTATTATTAATTCGCATAAATAACGATTTTGTAACTCGAGTCAAGTATCGTAAAATACCTCGCCAGGCTATTCTTGCATGAACACGTATAGCATAAGAGGATGAGGAGAGGGGTTGTAATATCAAAGCTGGAATTTCTCGGGACACGAGGAGGCGGCAGCCAGAAGGAGGCAGCGGAGAATTAAAGGGACCACAGCACAAAAATACATTTCGCTATAGAATGCCGGTGGCATTTTCGTGTTTGACAATTTAAAGAAGGAAAAAAGATAACGAAGCTGTATACATATATAAATTTTATAGGGTAAAGTGGGGTTTCTCTCATTCGGTGGGAATGAAAAGTCTTGCACCCGGCACACTTGCATCGCTCCAATACGACTCCAATACGATACGCGTTAAGTAGAGGAAGAGCGAAGAGGGAAGAGGTCGGGTATTAGGGGGAGCTATGAAAATTAGTAGTGGTGGTAAAACTTGTCTTAACCACTGGGTGAATAACGTAAGAAGTAAAGGGGTAGGGGTAGTGTTTAGCGTGACGAGGGGTAATGCGAGGCAGGGAGAAATATTCTGGAGTCGTCGGGACGCCGAAAATAGCGTCCCGATATGAGATGACGCCCAGGTCGGTTTGTTCCTAGATTTCAGTCAGTTCGCAAACTTCGAAAGCAACGCGGTTGCTCCGCCAAAAAAAAAAATTAAAACACTATTAAAAAATCAATTGCGCTTCCAGTCGAGTTTCGGACGGCCTGTTGATTGTTCCACATCTGTTTGTTTTGTTTTGTTTTTTTTTTTATTTTCCCAAGCGTTATTGAATCCCAACGAAAAATTAAAGACAATAATGGCGGACGTAGACAGCAGTGTAGTGTTCACGACCACGGAGCGAAAAACACGCAAAGTGAAGAAGACGACAAAACGCAGAGAGAGCCACGATCAGAATGCGGAGGTCACGATCACCGAGGTCGACAACACCCCGAACAACCACACCGCCATCGACGAGTATGTGCTGGCTGAAGGCTATATCGTTGTTTTCGGGATTTTTCACCTCGTTTTTCCTTCTATCTTGATCTTGATTTGTTTTCCTCCTGTTGAAATCCATTATCAGGTTACTCTGATTGGAAGCTCTTGCAGGAAGTATCAGCTAACGATGCTCCTCAAGAGCCAAAGTGTTGGTATCCTTTTTTTGACCCGGATTTCCTTGACATTTCGTGATTCAGAGTCATCGTCAGAGTTACCTGTTAAAATTTCCGTGAGATAATCCCTCAGTCTGATTGCAACGAGAGATTTTCCCACTCATTTCAAAGTCATTTCATTTATAAGTCTTATCAACCGTAATCACCGGGGTTACGCATTATACAAATATACTCAGCCAGCACATACACCAGCACTCATTCAAGGTACATATCTGGGGACGAAACAGTGCGAGAAGCATGGCTGAAACCAACATCTCCAATGATTCCAGATAAATATGCTCCATTGATATTAATCAATTTTATTAATTTGTCTGGTTTCAGTTAATTTTCAGTGGAGAGTACACAAAGGCGATGAACAAGGACTGGCACAGTGGCCACTTCTGCTGCTGGCAGTGCGACGAGTCACTGACTGGACAGCGTTACGTACTCCGAGACGAACACCCCTATTGCATCAAGTGTTACGAGAGTATCTTTGCAAACGGATGCGAAGAATGCAACAAGATCATCGGCATAGACTCAAAGGTAATTTCATCCAGACCAAGAACAAAAACAGATTCCAAGTGTTTGTACGTAATGCAATAATCCAAGTTAAATCGTGCCAATAACGCCCATAATACGATACAAAACTCGTACTGATGTTCATCCTCAGTTAAATTCACACGGCACAACGATGCTCCTGGTGTCGGCTTACTCACTCCTAGAAATAGAAATTCTCCCGACCATTGCAGGCGCACGTCGCTCCATCTTCCTCCTCCACCTCCTCCAGCTCCTCCACCTCCGCCGCCATTCTGGTGTTATCGCTTATGATTATTTTGGTCGTAACCCGCCGACGCAATGAGAAACTAAACACCACTGGGGTTCACCATTTTCGTGGTGATTTTCAAAGCATCACATTACCGAGTCAAAATAAAATTAATATCTTTCGACATTTTTCCAAATGATATTTTCTATTTTTCCACCAAACAACATGCAATTAACTTGGATGTTGTTTGCTTGTTTGTGCAGGATCTGTCGTACAAGGACAAGCATTGGCACGAGGCCTGCTTCCTCTGCCACAAGTGCAGGGTTTCCTTGGTGGACAAACAGTTTGGAAGCAAGGTCGACAAGATCTACTGTGGCAACTGCTACGATGCCCAATTCGCAAGCCGTTGCGATGGATGCGGCGAAATCTTCCGCGCAGGTATGTCCCTTATCAGGTTTTATTATCCAACAATGAGTATAGTTGCAACGCTAATTGCACAATACAAATTGTAAATTTTTTACAAAAAAAAAAAAAATGCGAATGGAATCATTTTCATGACATCACAAACAACATATTGGTTTATCTCTGCAGTGATGCTCTAGTTATAGTAATGTCGATAGATTTGGCATTTAGTTTTTCTTATTAAGGTAATGAAGTCAAGGCTGACGATCGACTGACCGGGACAATTATCGGTATGTCGGGAAGGACTACTCCTACGTTTGATGATTTTTATAAGTTATTCTCAATCGCATGAAAAAGTGAAAGAAGTCGCGAAAAAGAATTGATAATTCTGGTCATGGATGTAACGTGTGCGTGTGTACGAGAACGCCTACAGTACCAGTATATGACCATATCAATGAAGAACCAATCTTTTGGCTTTAATGTAGGCCAGGGGCCTGGATTGTTGACCAAGGTTACAGGTCAGAAGTCATTGAAGTACTCTACAATCGTGGAAAGTGCCTGCTCCAGTATTCTTTAATTGCGAATTTTCACAACTGGATGTAAACTGCACTTGAAAAACATTCGCATTGACAGAAGTTACGTAAATGAAACTAACGTAAACGTAAAAACCCAATAATGTGAAATTTAAATCTAGAATGAAAAGACGAGATGAGAAATTCGCGTTCTAATTGAACTTTTGGTAGACAGTGTACAACTTAAAGCTTTCCAGTTCTAAGTATAGTAACATGAAAAGTTATTGCAGGAAGCGTTGCGCCTGCTCGCAATAGTTTGATTCCAGCCTGGCAACTTGAAATTTCACCGCAGTGAGCCAACACCGCGTTTTTGACTTCATATACTGCAGCGGTTTTCCCTACGTAAAAAAAAACAAACAAAAATGCGAGAAATTCCACAGAGAAATTACACATTTCAACACAACGCAATTGAAATCACAAAGTACACTGTTTATTCCCACGAGTGCATCATCAAATTCCGTGTGTAATCGCAATTCATTGATCACAACTGGTGCCGGGTATAAGTGATTCCCTAGACCAGCAATCGATCCGTCAAGTTGGGCCATAAACGTCATTACACTCATCGATTTCCCCCGTCCCCTTGGGATAATTAAATGGCGATCAATTAATGACAATTATTGCGTCGAGACGGAACGTTTAGAAATCAAATCCCTTTCCAGACCGCGTGGCACGCGCAGGGGGAAGAGAAAGAGAGAGCGAGAGAGAGAGAGAGAGAGAGAGAGAGAGAGAGAGAGAGAGACGTGAAACACACGCGATGTTGAGTCGGCTGTGTACTAAAGAACGCCAGTTGTGTGAAGTAAAGGATTGTGTGGTAGTGGCAAGAGAGCACGGGTTCTTTTCAATAAGTATCCTGGCGCATTGGCGATCACATTGACTCTGTGTAATGACGAGTTGACGTTTCGAATCTTTATCAATCAAAAATTTTATACCAAAAGTTGTAACAAAAGCTCAAGAGTGGCTAATCGAGTGGAAATAGTAGCTCGAGTGAATTCAAGTGAATTAAAAACATTTTGAAAATGGCAACAGAGGCGTTTAGAGAGCGATTGTCGAGTAATTTGAGATTAACGACGAAGACAGTTGGTGAGGATAGGATTAAAAGGGCGAAGGAAAAGGACGAAGATATTGCGGTATTTAGCATGGTACCTCTGGAGGGTGATCCCAAATTTAAATGCTGTTTGGGCAGGGATTGCAGAATGGGAGATTGTAAAAAGGCACTTCCAGGTGATTCAACTATTATTTTCCAAAGCAATTGCTTCGCCGAGATTTTTTAATAAGAGTAGATTGTTTTTTTTTTTTTCCGAGGCAAGGAATATCGTGGAGGAAATGTGGGCCGAGGTAGTGCGCTCTCATAATATACGTCACGAAAAACCGGTCGGTTTGGAGTTGCGATCATAGAGACGTGACCTTATCGGGAGTACTTGGCTCGGGTATACTGGCCGTATATGACATGTTCAAAGGTTCCGGTAATGTGCGTTATGATGAATATTATCAACTTGGTTAATTAGCGTGATTAGAGCGTGTTTACTCAGTGAACATCTTCGTTTATTCACTTATGTATATCCTCACGTCTTTACTCAATCCTTTTAGAATCGACAAATTAGCCTTGACTCCACGGGTGGCGGAGTATACAGTTGACCTTTTCAATATTAGTTTGCCTATTGAATTTCATTCTAATTGATGTACACGGTGGTTCGTTTAACTTTCTCGTACGTTGAATTATCTTCGTCCTAGGTCAAGATGATTTTTCGCTTGTTTCGCTTGGCAATTGATCATATATTTATAAGTGTGACGCATAGCTTAGGCTTTCTCGATATGATTCCATTTCTTGCGCCCAAATAGCGTGAATTATTCAATTAATTCGGTGAAGAAATTGAAGAGATGCATAAAATTCATCGATTGAGAGAGCATTTGGAGGCACGTTGTTGCGAAACAGAGGGCCTTGAGGTCCCATCCAAGTTTATACATATACGGATATCGGTTGGACACAGTGACATCACGCCATGGTTCTTCTGACTCACGTGTAGCTTAAAAATGAGAGAGAAATTCTGTGCATTCGATTCCGAAACGATTATCCAGTGTCATGTGGAGGAAAATTAAAGTCTTAGATTATCATTGCTATTAGGATACTTATAAAGATAATCATTTATATCTCATTTGAAACGTAAAAAATTATGAATGCTAAGAACACTCAGAGAAGTGCTTCAACGCCCACGAAAAGAATTGAAAATGCTAAATTACGAGGTTCTGACTCATTTGGTAGCTCTCGAATGTCATTCTGATGGATAAAATCGTCATTTTATAAAAAAAAACATGTTATCAATTATTGTTGTCTCTTGACAGATTGCCATAGTCCCTGACCTTTATCTCATCCAGTCTCACACGTAAACAGGAAACTCATAAGAGAAGAGCAACATTATTGGAAACAAATTTAAATTTCATAGACAGTTGAGTGCTGTAATTTTCCATACAATGATATTGAATTGAATTTATGGGGAAAAAATCATGAAATTTATTGGCCAACTTACTTGAAATTTCAGGGGAATTAAATGTGATGAAAATTTCCAACAAGAATTTGTGAATCTTCTGAAATATTTTCTCAGGGAATACGAAGTACCGGAGAATAAATTCAAATGCGTCATGATGTAAAAAAAAATATATTCTTTATGGAGAGTCCAAAAATGGCCGATGATCTTCATCAGTGACAGGAAAATACATTGCCTAGGCGCCTACGCTGTACACGCATTATGACGTGTATATGATTACCATAACCAGTTGATAGATACTTTGAGTTTCTTTCATCGTCAGATGAAAAGACAATGGGGAAAATTTTGTCGGTGAAACACTAGTTGAATTGGACGATCAAGGAAACAATAAATTATGAAGATATGAAAAAATTTGACTGTTAAAGGTACCAAGAAGATGGAGTACAAGACCAGGCAGTGGCACGAAAAGTGTTTCTGCTGCGTCGTGTGCAAGAATCCCATTGGATTAAAGAGCTTCATCCCACGTGAGCAGGAGATTTACTGTGCTGGATGCTATGAGGACAAGTTTGCCACTCGTTGTGTCAAATGCAACAAGGTAAATTTTGTCTTTTTTTTATCAATGATGAAACTAATTAGCCGTGTGAAGTGGTTTACATCAAGATCTAAATATTGATTCTCCTCCCAGATTATAACTAGCGGTGGTGTTACATACAAAAACGAGCCATGGCATAGAGATTGCTTTACTTGCACTCACTGCAACAATTCTCTGGCTGGACAGCGATTCACTTCACGCGACGATAAGCCCTACTGTGCCGAGTGCTTCGGCGAGCTCTTTGCCAAGAGGTGTACTTCGTGCGCCAAACCAATTACTGGTTAGTTAAATTGGCTCCAGAGCAAATTGTGCTCTACTTAAAAAATAATAATCAACGAGTGATTTTCTTCTCTAGGTATCGGTGGCACTCGTTTCATCTCATTCGAAGACAGACACTGGCACAACGATTGCTTCATCTGCGCTGGATGTAAAACCTCATTGGTCGGTCGTGGATTCATAACCGACGCCGAAGACATCATTTGTCCCGAGTGCGCCAAGGCAAAGCTCACAACCGAATGATTCAATTAATCACGAATGAAATAACATCTCCAATGTATTCTTGTGTCACGGATATCAAAAAAGTCAACAGCTTTTACAAGCATTATTTCATAATCTCGCTACGATTGATAATTTGTTTGATCGATAATTATTATTCCTCACTCATTTTCCTAGCGAAAAATTCATTTAAAATGGGGAGAAATTGCTCCTCCAATCGTAGCAATATTAGTCATTTGTAATTTTGACTTTCTCTATATCTTGTTAAATGTATAATGTTAATAGTTGTTCAGCTGTAGCTCTATTCGATATAATGACGAGTCATATTTCAAATAGAGCTAGAGACGATAAATGAAAAGTCATAATAATTCTCATTTAACGATATAATATGGGAGCTAAAAATACCCGCAGATGCCTTAAAAAATAGATATATATATATATGATATATCAAAATGTCGATGAGAGTGAGAGGAGTTGCGTGATGTTATTAATTTAAATTTCTTAATACTTTTGTTCCCTTGTTCTCTCTCTCTCTCTCTCTCTCTCTCTCATTTTTATCTCATCTTTGCTTTTTTATAATAGAAAAAGTTGTCCAGGTGATTTAGACGGTATGATGATGAATAAAATCAAGTTTTGTTTTTTGTCGTGAAAAAAATACTGAGATTTTATACGCAAAAAGGAAGAAAAGAAAAAAATAATCTCGTTATATTTCTACTTGATTGACTCATTCACTCATCGACGTGCGTTTATCATGAAATTCCCGCAGTACATGCTTTATCTCGTTTGAAAATGAAAAAATAAAAATAATTGCGTCAACACTGCACCATCCTACCCATTTTTATATCACTCAATCATGTTTGAATGCAGCCGTGAGTTTATTTATTTGATTTTTTTCAATAATCAACGAAAACTAAATTGGAATAATTTACGATATATAATCCTAGAGGAAAATGAGTTGAATTCGAAAAATGGAATGATATGAAGATATGAGAAAAATATGGGATTTATACGAATCGCTTCGATGCACCACATACACAAACATGAAATTCAATTATATCATTGAAACAATAAATATGCATTCACGCACGAGTGAACACGCGTCTCTCCACCCCCTTTTCCCTTCCGCCCCTTAGTCCTCTCCTCTTTATGGTACCAATGAAATTTGTGGCCTTATACAAATTATTATACAAACACAAATAAAACATGAGCAAACTAACGGTTTCAGTAATATTGTTAGTATGAAATGTTATGTGAATTTGTAATACAGGTGAATTAATATAAATATTTAACGGCAAGTAAATAAAATCTATTTTTTTTCTCCTCTTTAAGTTTTTTTTTCTTTTCTTTTTTTTTTTTTGTAATAAAAACTCTGATGAACGGTGTTATCATTGCAAAACAAATTTCTTCTCTACCGACAAGCGAAATGAGTAACTACCCCCTCAACGATGGCGCCACTGGAAACTTCCACAGAATCTCAAGAACAACCCCTAATCAGCTGTTCGCTATTGCTATGGCACAAAGGTCACGCGATGCTCAGAAATCTCTCAATTATTTTTCATACTAATCAAACTCTTAAAATATTTAATGGATATATGTTTAAAAAATACATTGAGATTGTAACAGTGAAAGTAACACATGTGAATATTTACGCTTAATTTTAGTGAACAACCCTCTGGACATTTCGTCAATTAGTATATTATGGGTTAATTGTGATATTGAACAGTCGAGTTATCATGAGGATGAGGTGTTGATGATTACTGATGGATCTGGATATAATTCCGCGGGAAAGGTGAGTGAATTGTACGAGTAATATTTAGTCTGTCCGATATTTCCCCAAAATTAACAATTACAAAGTCAATACGTTATAGTGTTGGAGATTGTGTGTCTTCAGAGAACTGTGATTCGAAGCCCAATTGTTGAATAAAAACAATGTACCCTACTTGATGTGAATTCGTTTCGACTGGTTATTTGTATGAAACCGCGTAAAGGTCCAATCAACAGGCATAAATTCATTGCCGAGGGTGTGCGGAGAATCAATAATCATTTTGGACTGACCGTTTTGATAACCGTGTTTAGCGAGATAAATCGAATAAAGTTTGGCAAAATAGTCCAGAGATACTTGAGCGTATTGGCGTTAATGTCGTCCATCATCACCATACGTTATGTACCATACTATTAGGTTGAGTAGTTTTTTTCTACCTTTTGGTAATCTCAATGCTTGTCAATCGTTGATCCAACTCACGCATTCATTGGACTTTTAGCGGATTACTCGCTGGTAGCAGCGAGGAAAAAAAGCGAGAAAAAAAGAATGAAGGGATAGAAGGATATGGTTAAAACGTGAGAATTTTCTGAAATGGCCATTTCTTTTTACTCGACGTATTTTTAACGTGCGTATCACATTCAAACTCTAATGAAATGTATTCATGATATTTCATGTTGTCCGCGGTAGTGGTGGGGGGGTTCGTTGAATTTAGAAGCCCTTGAATCTTGAATTCAGTAACACCAAGTAATTCTCCGAAGAATCCAAGACGCAATGCATCGAGCGTCTTTTCTATTTTTTTACAGATGAAAAATCTGGAATTCGTCACCCTCGAAGACCGGTGAAATCGATATTGGAAATTGGTTGTGGCATGACTCTTCCGCAAACCCTCGCGTGCTCCAGCAGTTGCCATCGAGTCGTGTGCCGGAATCTCGAGAGCGTCTCTTTAAATAATCGAGAGGCTATCCATTGGAGCGTTTTAAACGGCTGCATGCCATTGAGTCAACTTTATTGCAACTTTTTGGCGTACATTCCAGCATCCCCCATGCGCAATCCGATCAGGTTTTAAATTTCAAAGCTTGCCAAAGTTGTTGACTTGTTGTATTTGATTTTTGTTCCACCTCGAGGACTTTGTGTTATATCACAATTTTTTTCTCTTCATGTATGTTAAATTTGTAGGAGAACCATAATATAGCGTAGTCGAGACGCGAGGGGTGTCGGTCAATACATGAAATTTGTTTTCCATTTGATGTATGTTAAATCTTGTAGAGCAAATGGTATACATAATACATATACACGACAGCTGGAGGTTAGGTGATGTTCAGTGGAAAATGTGAGATCGGAGCCGCCTCAACGACACTGATCCTTCACTAAGTTCTCTAATACAACGAGAAAAGTCTTGCTACGCTGGCATGGAACTAAAGCCGTTGGACATTTCTTTGACGACATCGTAAAAGTGCACTCGCCATCGGCGCGATTCGACCCATCGATTTTTCACCCCCGCTTATTCAATGTATCTCTTGCATCGGTATACCTATGTAGAATGCCCCCCGACCCTTGGCCTCAGGTACTGCTAACTCGTATTACCTCTTTTTCGGTTGAAAAACGTCGTCCGAATAAGAGCACCCGTCGTTTTAACAGAGTCACGTCAAAGCCGCCGGCTTACATTACCATGCAACCAAAAATACTATTGGACAATTTTTTTACATGCAGCAGTTGACTATAATGGAAAGAATAGGGTTTGGAGGCGACACAATCGACGGCGGATAAACATGGAGATATAAATTGTATGTCCAAAATATTGTATTGTCCATATTGTATTGTCCAAAAAAGTAGACAATTCAAGGCATCGGTGATTCACCTAAATGTTTCACGTATTATAGACTGTTAATTCCGCATTTGATGCAACAAATCGTGAGACTATTAGCTCGACAGCAAGTATTATCTTGAAAAACGAGTTGTGGTTGAAATCCTCACACTCAATCGTCACTTGGCAGTTGAATTGAAGCTGCAGAGCACATTGAACATGAGACATACAATAATAAACCGCGACACAATTTTCCCTTGGACAAATGTCGCAATACATTGTCTGCGGTCTATATTGGAAAATCAGAGGGGAAAATGGATTATTCATGATGAAATAAATACCAGGAGTGAAGGAATGAACAAGTCCAACAAAACAGTGTCAACATCTGAATGGAATGAATGAATGGAGTTGATGAAGTTAATGTTCAGAGGAGCCGGTCTCCTCGTTGATTTGTATGGGGAACCATGGTAAATCAGAAGCAGTAGTCCATCGGTACACCAGCACCAGCCACCAGCGAGTCTTAATTGTCAAATGGGTAACCAACAGAGAACGAGCATGTACATTTACATGTGCATTACGACATGGTAATACCATCGTAACTGTGGAGTCACCACTGGTGGCTTCCTCTTTCTCTCACCTTCCAACCCTCCATTTCAGTTGGTCCACAATATTGCATAGGGCATACTGGCATTCAGCCAAGTCCTGTAGTAGACTCTATGTATGAATAGTCTCTCTCTCTCTCTCTCTCTCTCTCTCTCTCTTTCTCTCTCTGTGCAGCTATTCCATACGGATACTTTTAATCTGTAGTCCAACTGGGTAAAAACCCTCCAATAATCCAGTAGATGAGTGGGTAGTTGTGGGAAAGTTAATAGCAGCAGTCTCTTTACTTACAGAAAAATAATTTCAAAATCGTTGTTGAACACTGGTAGAAAAAAAATTGAAATTGAAATTTCATGGAAAGAGTGATAAACAGAGTGATTTCAAATTTCATTGGAAATTTACAGTTTTCATAGATTTTTCCAAGAAATTGTATTTCAAAATGTATGACAAAATGGTCATACATTACGAAATCCTAGCGTGTTTATAACGCCAATGCAGCCATTAGTTACTCGTGTATTTTCCAGTGGATCAATAAGCCCGAGTTTACTGTCCACGCTTCTAGTATCGTCAAAGCCGAATATTTAACTTAGTCAACTACACGAAAATATGGTATTACAATGAATTAGCACGGCCATTGATATTTCTTTTTGGTATCTATTGACTATTGCGACATGCGATGGGCTTTGAGTTTTACCAATGCAGTGCAGCATAGTAAGCTGGTATACCTAGCGTTGGAAATTGTTCGGTTGTGCACACCATGTCCACATAATGTATAAAACAACATCCATTGGATTGTTGCATGGCTGAAGGCACACGTGCATACAACTTTGTTGATTTCCTTTATTAAAAACGAAAACGAAATGCTACTGCATTGAGTCGTCAACTTTTATTTTTCTCTAAAAAGAAAAAGGAAAGTGTTAGCCGCCGCAACCTTAGAAGAAAACTTTTGTAAAGCATTTCCAACTTTTTCGTTGAAATTCCTCGAATGGAATGGGAATTTATTCATGTGGAGTATCAAGTTTTTCGTTCTATGTACGAGGATAAATCCACCAGTCCAATTCGTTGGGGCGTCGATCATACGAAGTGGGTGGAACTCTAGGTGGTTTACGTCTATGAACTTTGTTAGAGGAATAAAAAACGCAATGTCTGCGACAAGGAGAATGTACTGAATTTTGTTGTGAAGAAATGGGAGAATCTCGATGTATATACGTATACGTATAGAGATATTGTCGTTTGTGGTGGAGTATGATGGATGCATTGCGGAATTCTTGGAGTTCAAGTTCCATGAATATCCTGAGCTCCTCTCATAGCTCTCGAGATGGAAAGGTTGGGTAATTTGTCACATCTCGTCGTGGGTCCGTGCCTATACCATACACTGGAATTTCAATACTGATGTGACTTATCTCTGAAGATTTTGGGATTTACAGTATCATTCGTCTGATATGACCGGGATGTGCATAAATTCTCATGTTATTTATGCAATTTCACACAGTAAAAATTCGCCTTGGAGTGAAAAACGAAAATAGTATTCACCATTGAAATTACAATTATGAAATGTCACGAAGCTTTTGTTCTCCGAATAAAGAAATGTCGCCGTAAATATCAAGCTTTGCAATTATAGATAAGCATTTAAGCATCCCCCTTAAATAGAAAACATAATTAAGAGATTAACTAATTTTATGGCTCGTACAATTACTTGACTCGTTATTTTCACCAGTGAGATAATGAGATCGGTTTTTCTGTTTGTTACTCCTCACTCACTCCTCAGTCGTCTCGATCCAACTTGTCATAAGTGTCTAGATGTTGTCATGGAAATGCTCTCCGGTTGCTTAAAATGATAATTATACGGTTCTGTGACATCGCTGAGATAACTTTACTTGACAGTTCAGTCTCTAGGAGCAGTATTAACATATTTTCTAATTTTGCTTGGGATGCGAGTTGAACGATTGTATGCCAAACTGGATCAACTCCCTGATGTACAATTTTCAAATGTCACAAACATTTCAGTAGCAAAGCGGTAAAGGATGATAAGTCGGTTTTGTTTCCGCCGAAAATGAGTTATTAATGGAAAACGATTCTATATATTGAATCCTGAATTTCATTCTCAACAATCATCCAGCGAAATAAGTTGACCTTGAAGTATACCTTCATTCTCCT